GATTGAGCGTACATAGAACGCGATCGGTTCAGCCGTTATTGAGATCCGATAATCTCGATCCAGCGCAACTCGTCGGTTCGCGTAAAGGAGGCACGGCAGTGTCGCTGCGCTTGGCTTAGACACTACCGTGTCTCCAGATTAATTTTAGTTATTTTGATTTTATTTCACTTACCTGTCACTTTTCTAAAAAAACTGAAAAAACAGAGTTATTCTATTATTAATAAATTCGTTCTGTGCCAGAGTCCTTGGTTACCTGACAAATAATCAGTAGGGAAGATAAAAAGTAAATACCTGAAAGTAAAAGTAAGTACCTGAAATTAAAAATAAGAATTAATTATAAGATTCACATAAAGTATACTTACCTGTCATCAAACTTGAAACCTGTAAAAATAATCTAGAGAGAAAGAAAACATGTACCATATAGCGTTTTCCACTGGGAAAATTGGTGCAACACTGGTGCACACTGAGTGCAATTTTGTTGTTCCACTGTGAAAACTAGTTCAGTGTTTAATAGTGTTTAATGTTCCACTGACAAAACTGGTGCAAAAAACTTGCACTGAGTTCAACTTTTGCTCCACTGTCTTTGAAGTCAGTGGAGACCAGTGCAAGTTGAAATTGAGGTTATGTATTTGCGCTTTCAAATACGATCATACGTTAAGCATGATATTAAATTATTTTAATTAATAACAATAATATTTTTAGTTTTTGCGTATCTAGTTAAATAACTAGCATTAATATTTCAATGTTCAAAATCATTAGTTTAACGATTTTCAATTCATAGAACAATTCTGGAGTACAGAGATTCAAGCGCGATTTAGAGAAAAGATTTACACTGGACGTTATATAATATATTAGGAAAAACCACAAACGTTAGCATGACGGAATACGCATTAGACATCGCGAAATAAGCGAAACTTCTAAACCCGCCAATGATAGAATCGGAAATCATCCGTGCAATGAAAAAACACTTCGGAAGTGAAGTGGCGCGAGAGATTAGGCCGAGTACAGTTAGTAATTTTAAAGACTTAATAATTCTCTTAGAAACGATAGAGGGGAAAAAAATACAAAAGATAAATGAAAATAGTAATAGAGAAAGACGCGTGAAACCATTCCGATCACCTAACACCGAGATTTAGCGTTAACAGACAGATTACAGGAAATCCGAGTTACAGATATAATAATAAATGGAATCAGAACAACAGATTTTATACAAATAGAGATACGAATATGAGACCAGCAATTGAATCCAGCAACTAACAGATACCAGCAAAGAGCGTAATGCCAGCGAACTACAACAATCCAAACAACAATCCTACGAGAAGATACAAGTACAATCCCGGTAGATTTGGAGCCAAAACAAACTCTCAACTAATGAACTGGAGACAGCCTAGAGCACTCAAAAACACAGAACCACAGATAGAGTATTCAACTAGTGAAGAAGATGAAAAAGAGAAGATTGAAGAGAGCGGAAAACATAAACCACTTGCAAAGCAAGGTACCAGTATGCGAAATGAGAAGAGCAAAGCTCAAAGAAAGGTAAATCAAATAGCGTTAAGAAATAAAAGCGCATTTAAAGATAATTTTCAGATAGAAGAAATAGATAACGTAAGGATTGGATTGAACATCGTGCGTCACAAACAACTACTAAAGCACGTAGACGAGGAAATAGAAAGCGAGCAAGAAAAGAATTCCTGGCTATAAAATCTCCAATGATAGAGATAACATTCGACAAATTTAAAATAAAAGCTCTGGTAGATACAGGTGTACAGGTAAGTGTACTTACGAAAGAAATATATGACAAATTGGTAGACACAAACCAAAAAATGGACATAATACTTATTAAGAAATTTATGCTGAAGGGAGCATTTTTAGAAAAAGATCAAATAATAAATAATAAGATCAATTTAAAATTTAAATACAACGAACAACAGTTTAATTACGAGTTTTACATTGTACAGAAGATGTCATACAAGATAATACTAGGAATACTTTTTAATGAAGCAAAAGATGACAATGCAATGTGGAGAACAACTAAAGATCCAATTTGAAGACATAGACCCAACGATCAACGCAGTAACCAGCTTAACACACGAACAGGCTAAAGAATGCCTTAATCAGATATTTTTAGATCATCAGGAAGTATTCGAAGAAGGAATAAGATGCGCAACGCATTACCAACACAAGATAGAAATTATGAAAGACAAGCCATTTACGAAGAAGACTTATCCAAGACTGATGAAACACATGGAGAGAATAACGGAGTATATAGAGGAACTAGAGCAAAACGGTATTATAAAAAAGACGTCAACCCAGTACATAAATCCACTCGTTGTGGTAATAAAAAAGAATGGAGACATACGTCTATGCTTAGATGCTCGGGAGATTAACAAACAGATGTGCAACGATCACGCACAACCACCAACGATCGATGAGATATTCCGACGTGTGGGAAACAAGAAATATTTTACGACATTGGATATAAGCAATGCTTTTTGGCAAATACCACTGGAAGAGAAATCAAAGAGATACACAGGATTCCTTTTTAACAATTAAACGTATGTATTCGAAAGAATGCCTTTTGGACTAAAAACGGTAGGAGCGTCGTTTACAAGAGCAATGGATCTAACTTTAGGAAAGGAATGTTCAGACTTTGTACTGATATATTTTTATAGCGTCATTAACGTTGGAAGAACATGTAACACACTTGAATTTCGTGCTAGAAAAATTAAAGACCGCAGGTTTCAAACTCAACAGAAGCAAATGCGAGTTTTTAAAGTCGGAAATAACATTTTTAGGACACAAATTTATAGAGATAAGAGCAGAAATGAACTGGGAGACAGTTCGAAACATAGTTGACTTCCCAAAGCTTACAAACAAGACGCAAGTACAAGCTTTCTTAGGACCGATTAATTGGGATAGAAGATTTATCAAGAACCTTTCAAGGATGACGAAACCACTCGAGAAACTATTAAAAAAGAACATTAGATTCGAAAGAACACCAAGGAAATTTCAGAAACATAAAGAATGAATTCATGGAAATACCAATCTTGTATTTGATACAACCAAATTTAAAATTCGAAATAACAACCGATGCTTCGAAAACAGGATTAGGAGGGAGATTATACCAATATTAGGAAGGCGATGTAAGAACTTACACGATCACATACACAAGTAGAAACTTAAAAGGAGCAGAATTAAATTACACAGTAACGGAACTTGAATGTTTAGCATTAGTACATGCTTTGAGAAAATGGAACACTTTATTACTAGGAAGACACGTAAGAATAGACACAGACCATAAAGCTCTGAAATTTATGAGCACTTGCGTACACAACAACAGCAGAATGGAGAGTTCAATTTCTTGAAGGAATTCGAACTAGAAATTAGACACATACCCGGAAAGGAAAATAAAATAGCGGACGAGTTATCCTACAGATACGAAGAAAATGATGGAACAACAGATGAAAAAAGGATAGCAGAACAAGAATACGAAGAAGAATGTCAGGAAGACGAAGAGCAATACGAAGAAGAAATTCAAGAGAATGAAGAGCAATATGAAGATGGATACCTGGAGGATATTCGAGAAGAAGATGAAGATGAATACCTAGAGAATGAACAGGAAGAGAATGAGCAAGATGAACAGACATACCAGAAGATTGACGAAGAATTAGAATCAGATGAATTTATCCAAGATTTACTTGAAGATATAGAAGAAATGAATGATATGGATATAGATTCACGACAAGAAGAACAAATGGAATCAAGAGAAAGACAGATAGTTCTAAAAAATAATCACAAGAACAACGAAGTAGTAAAACACAATGGAACGCGAAGAAACAACAAACCAATACAAATAACCATGAAAAGAGAAATAAGAACAGACGGAGAAAAAGCTTACACTCTGGAAAGAGATACTAAAACATATAGAGGCAAGAAAGAAAAGGAAATATACGAATCGAGAGACAAATTTGACTTGCAACTTGTTAGAAGACATTAGACAATATAGATATGATCAAAAAATGATTCAAGACAAACCCAGAAGAAAACAAGATCGCAGAATGATAGAATATTATACACCAGAAATAAATGCGATAAGACGAGATCAACAAGAAGAAACTATACAAGAAACAGCACAAATAAATTATATAGAAGATTCAGAAGACGGAAATTATACCAGTAGATGGGTAGAAATAATAGCAGAAGCACAAGAAAGATATCCAGATATAGACAAAATATTAGAAGAAAACCTGGAAGACATAGCCGGACTATATTAATAGACGGACTTATTAGAATCAGACAGACGGACAATTCAGACAGAATTTTTGTATCTAGTTACATAACATGGGACTTGATTAAAGAAATTCATAAATTTTTACTTCATTTTAGTACAGACAAGACAATAGCTTTCGTAAAGATTTATTTTCAGATTAACAACGTAGACAAAATTTATAGAGACGTGGTAGCATCGTGCGAGGTATGCATGAGAACTAAATATTATACAAGAGCCACTGAGGGTGAGCAATATTACGAGTTACCAGACAGACCAAACAAGACAGTATCTTTAGACATATTTGGACCACTGCCACAGACGCAACAAGACTTAAAATATATATTATAAATATAAAATATATATAATATTATGACAGACCAATTTTCAAAATACACTAGACTTTATCCTATGCAGAACCAACAACTTGATACTATAATGGAAATCTTAGAGACAGAATACTTTAGAACGGTAGGTTTACCAGAAGAGATATTGACAGACAACGCCGGACAGTTTTTAACTAATAGATGGAAAGATTTTGCAAGGGAACACGAATTTAATATTCGAAAGACTAGCCCGTATAACCCGCAAAGCAACCCGGTAGAAAGAGTAATGAGAGAAATAGGACGCGTTATAAGAACTTATGCGAGTTATGATCGGCAAACGTGGAACAAAATAATATTTAGATTAGAACAGATAATAAACGCTACGGTACACTCGAGTACTGATTACGCACCAGACAATTTACATTTCAATGGCGAGTTAAACATAGAATTAGATCCTACACTAATACCGTATACCGAACAACGTGAAACGCGAGCGAGTTGAATAAGGAACGCTAACATCCAACTTAAGCGAAGCGCGAATAAGCGAAAAGTACAATTTGACAAATATAATTTTGCGAAACAATACTAGGAAAGAGAACTAGTTTGGTTGAGATTACAGCTCAGAGAGACGCTCAGATGCTAACAGACGCGTCACGCAAAAGATACATTTAGTGTACGATGGACCCTATAGAATAAGTAGAATTATAAGACCGAACGCATATTTAATTGAAACTTTAGAAGGTAACGCGATAGGAGTTTTTAATTCTAGACAGTTAAAACCACATTGGCAACCAAGATACAAGTCGCAAGAAAGAAGAGGAAACAATCCAAGGGGATCCAGAAGTCGAGTTTTGAGCGGAGAATCAGCAGAAGAAGAAGAAGAATTTATAAACATAATTCGGATAGACAGTCCGATCAACCGAACGTTTACAACATTCGATATCAATTCAACGATCGAAAGATTGCAACAGAGATACAGGAAGAGAGAGATTTCAAAGATAGAATCGAGCGAGGAAAGGAAAGAGCCAATAGGAAGACAGGATGACTTTATGCAATTAAAATTCCGACAGGAAGCAACTTTGACACCTACCTATGGTGCATACAAAAATGAAGTCCTAAGCCGGAAGTATGAAGATTCATTTGAAAAAGAGAGAAAGAAGATTAATGAAAGAGACGAGAAAGAACGAGAATATGAAAATACTTACCGATGGAACAGCTCGAATCAACCAGATAACAGATTATGGGTAAAATCTAGAAGAAGAATTATACAGGGTAACGCAGAACTTGAAACAGAAAGCAAGACGAAGAAATTAACATTTTCAAAAAAGAACAATAATGTAGCGAGAAGAAAAATAACAACCACAAAGACGATCAAGAGAGAAAACGCTACGACCAAGATTCATAATTTTTCGATAGCTAATAACGAGGATATACAAATTTTAAATGAAGAGATAATCACAACGCCCATTCAAATTTGCCGCCAAGACACTAAAATCAGCGAGCACATGAAAACGACCAATGAAGATGAGAAGAACCTAAAGATGGAAATGAACACACAAAATGACGCCATGTCACGACAGTTAACAACAGATATTCAAACGAGTAAGGGCTATGGCAAAGAACGAGACGTAACGAGACGTAAGTTCCGTAGTCGTAACGTAAGGTAAGGCAGAGAAAAACGTAGCTGTCGTAGTCGTGACTGGTCTGGAATGGTCGGTAAAGTGTGTCAGAGCGACGAAGTGAGTAATATTAATGCACGTTTATACGTCTTAATAGTTAATAAGGAAATATATACACACTAAAACAAAATAAAAATAGATTTATTTTTAAAGATATAATGATATTTGTTTCCACCTCCTGAAATAATCATAATAGTACGTAATTATTATTTTAGAGGTTAACCAATATTTTTCGAAGTATGTATGTACATTGTTAATTACTAACAAAAAATGTCCTTAACACATTTTTAAAATCATTATTTCTACATTCTTTCTTTAGGACGGAATTAGTTTAACCGTTTCTCAAGGTTTTCACGCGGATTCGCTAAATAGGACATCGTCCTCGTGTTATGCACATTTCATTTTTTCTTTAGAGGATCGTTACTTTAGTAGGTTAGTGCAATTTTATGATTATATGCTGTATGACTAAATCAATATTAATTAGAAAGAAGTATGTAAGTCAACCCAAAGGTCTTTTCTAATTTTTAATTTGTTTTTTAGGCAGAACATTACTTTTAACTTAACGTTGTACTAACTTTGATTGATTGAGAAATATGTCTGATCATTTAAAATATTGTAATATTAGTGATTCATCTGTTGAAATCAATACAGAAGATTATACTGACATTAATATTGAAGAAAAGAAGGGTGATGAGCTTCTCATCGAATTATACAGAGAACGTACATTTTTATACGATAAAAGTAATATTAACTTTAAAGATTGTTTAATGAAGCAAAATGCTTGGCTTGAGATATCTAAAATAATGACTCAAATTTGTGTGGTGAATATTAAATTTTATTTATTATAATTACGGATGTTAATATAATAAGTGATAATATACATGTATAAATTTATTTTTTGTCTACAATTTTTTTGCTCAGGTGACATGTATAATCCTTCGTACTGCCAAAAAAGATGTACCACATTAAGAGACCAATACAATAGAGAAAAAAGAAAGATTGAAATTGAATCCAAAAGTGGAAGTGGTGCTACTAAGGCTACTCGATTTCTTTTTTTTGCGCAGTTAGCATTTTTAGACCGTGTTATTCAAAGACGCAGGTAAAATAACTTATATCGAATTAATTCTTTGAACAAATTTGCTTTAATATATTTTTTATATGCTTATTCTAGAAGCTACACTAATTACGCAAAATCTCAACCATTTATAGTTGATGAAGGAAGTAACGAGTCACAAAGTACTGCAAATG